AGATGTATTTCGTTTAGTTCGTTTAAGATGATCAAGGACTGGTAGTAGAATTTTCCCACAATGCTATGAGTAGAGCTGACGGTTCCATTGAATTTCACATAGCCTTGCTTTCCCAAAATTGTTATCATACACTCTGCATCAAGCCTTTGATAGAACAAAGCAGGCCCACGAAGTCTGAAATCTCAAGCTGGATGGGAAACTAACTTGAGGCTATGGATCCCCTTACTTCTGTTCTTCATGTACAATGGCAAAGCCTTTTCTTTACGGATTACGTCTATGATCAAATACATTTACTGTTAGCCAATTAGCTCTGGTCTTTACCGCATCTCTCGTGCTTCTATCCTTAATGCCAAGTCTATAACTTCCTATGCCCTACTATGCAACGAAATACGACTGCGAACATCCTAAAGGCCATACCATCTTTGTCTTCATACCTATGATTAAACTATGAAAGTAAGATTGCCAAATAATGCACCGATTACAGCCACACAATGAATATAATTATAAATCAATCATGCTATCTGACCTTTTTTGATTTATTGCTAACATTCTGGTATCGCTCCCAGGTTCTCTAACCTAATGAGGAAGCGTCATTCGAACACCATTAAAGAATTAATTTTTCACACCTCAATCCAGAAATTAGAGGACACTTACGAGACTGAGAGGCATAAGCTATTCAGGTTCATAGACATTAAATCTAGAATATATGAAGACCAAGATGTTGTGGCCTCTGGTATGGTCGCAGTTTCCTTTCGATTTACAGAAGTGGGTTGACCTCGTTGTCGCAACTTGGTCTTGTTGTCAGGGGGACTATGTAGAACGCACCGAAGTCGTCTGCCATAGTAGTTGTCATGATATCCAGCATCTGACAGTGGACTAGATACATTCTTGAACGTTTCGCTGGCATCGTATTCGGCATCATCAGTGAGCTTTGCCATTCTCCTCACCAAGCTACGAACTCGTCAAAGAGACAAGTGAAGTCAATCCCTCGACAACCGTCTTGCCGAAAACGGTTAAACTATCACTCCTCTTTCTGTCCTCATGTAGACAAGTCGTAAGTTGTTATAGGGCGGCAGTGGGATAAGAGTGTAAAGAGTAGATAGATAGACAATGACAGAAAGAGGAGTGATAGAGTAACCGTTTTCGGCAGAACGGTTGTCGAGGGATTGACTTCATTTGTCTCTTTGACGAATTCGTAGCTTGGTGTGGAGAATGACAAAGCTCACTGATGATGCCGACTACGATCACGGATAAGAGATGTATCAAGTCCACTGTCAGATGCTGGGAATCATGACAACTACTATGGCAGACGACTTCGGACTCGGTGAATCCTACATAGTCCCCCTGACAACAAGAGCAAGTTGTGACAACGACGTCCACCCACTTCATTGAATTCAGACTTAGGAAGGATCTATGTAGAGTTCTTACTCCGGAGGATTTTCAAAACCCCCAGAATATGACTGATCAGATGTCACAGAGGGTCCAGAATTGGATGACTATGAGGCATAACAAGAAATTGCTTAGATATGGGATAATAAGGCAGCGCAGGATCAAGCCAAACTGGGCATAGTTTGATGGTTCTGTATCTAAAGCATAAACTGCTACAACCGACGATAGGGATAAGATAATAAATCTACCCTCAGTTCCCCTTGATTCTGAAACCACGGCTTCCCTGACCAAGGAGTTAACTTTTTCCCTAGGTAACTAAGGAAGCGTTCTAGATGTTATTCTTGTGGAATCTGCTAACATATCCGATAAATATCCAGAAAAGACAAAGAGAGAGATGGAAATGGAAATAATCCAAATAATACTGGCATATCAGGAGCCAATACACAGAAGCTGATTGACTGGGATACTCAAAAAATTACTAAATTATTACTAAATAGCTCTTTATGCAGATAAGGGAGGAGCGATGGTGGTAACGGACAGGAAACACTTCACGGAGAAAATGGAAATACTAAAATACTAAAGTAAGGATCCAACCATAAAGCTCAATGGGATGTGGTCTGAAGGAAAGGCATAACAACAGAGGATTCGATAGATGGATGATGAACTCTTCAACTAAAAATGGCGCAAGAAAACTGATAGCATTCGGACTACCGAAGATACACAAGGAAGAAAAATCTCTAAGATTGAATTTACAACAAGCATAGAGCTACATGCAAACTAGCCTGATTCCTGTGTATAAGTGGGCTGACCTCGTTGTCTCAACTTGGTCTTGTTGTCAAGACGACTTAGTAGAACGCACCTAGTCTGAAGTCGCCTGCCATAGTAGTGGTCATGATTCCCAGAATCAGACAATGGACTTGGTACATTGTCAAACGTCGGCATCATCATTGAGTTTTGCCATTCTCCGCAACAAACTACGAACTCGTCAAAGAGGCAAGTCAAGTCAATCCCTCGACCGTGTAACCGTTTGCGACAGAACGTTTGTCGGGGGATTGACTTCACTTGTCTCTTTTGACGAGTTCGTAGCTTGGTGCGAAGAAAGTCAAAACGCACTGATGATGGCGACTATGATGCCGGCGAAACGTTTGAGAATGTACCAAGTACACTGTCAGATGCTGGGAGTCGTAACAACTACTATGGCAGAAGACTTCGGACTAGGTGCGTTCTACTAAGTTGCCCTGACAACAAGACCAAGTTGCGACAACGGT